GAGTTCTAGTCCCTCTTTAGGCATGAAGCTAGTTGGGTGACCTGGGACCAGTCAATTTCTCTTAGCCCTAGGAAGGTGGCAAGGGAAACCACTTCTGAAATCTTGACAGGAAAATCGCAGGGACTTGTCAGGTAGTTGCCAGGAGTCAAGGCTGACTTGAATGCACACACTCAGAGACACAAATAGCATAATATTACAGGGCTGTTTGGTAAGTTTAGCTGTACATTATTTTCCTTAATTTCTGGCAAACAGGATTTTACCATTTGTGAGCATTTCTCTTCTGGCCTTCAGCCAAGTCTTTCTGTCAATGGATAAGTTAGGACAGAGGTGTCAAACTCAATTTCATTGAGGGCCGCATCAGGGCTGTGATTGACCTCGGGTGGGTGTGGCCAACTGGGTGGGTGTGGCCAACTGCTGGCATGTTTTCTCTTTGCATTGAGTAGACTAGGACGGCCCCACAGGCTGCCTTGAGTTTGACACCCCTGAGTTAGGAGCTAACCTGCAGGAGAACAAATTGGAGCAGTCCCTGCTAGTAGCTGTTACCCTCTCAAGAGAATGAGGTGTTTCAAAGAAGGAACAGTTGGCATCCAGTGAACCCAAGTACTTCCTCCTTGGAAGGGCTGCATGTGCTCCAGCTGGAGGGATTTCTTCTCTTTGGCTGTTGGTTGCTTCTTGAGTGTTGCATTCCTCCCCCAAATTCTTTTTCTATCAGGGTCCCGCTTGTTAATGTGAAAAAGGCCATATTGCAGAGAAATGATGGTAGTGCTCTGTGGGGTTTTTTTTTTTAATAGTGTGGGCTACTGATTTTGGAGTTACAGCCTGTATTCCAAGCACATGCAGCCTGCCCTTCTTCCAACTGAAATGTTTGTTTTGTGCGTGGTTTTATATCATAAGTTAATGTCGGGACAAAAATGCTAGCAGGAGGACAGTTTTTGGTGGTAAAGCAGGTCTCTTATCAGAGATACACACACTCACACACCTCTTCAGAAAGAGCAGGGGACTGGAATTTGGCAGATATCCTTTTAGAGGCTTCCCCTAAACATCTGAAGTCCATTATGTGGAGAAGGTAGGCCTCCTTGGGTTTAACGCAGCACTTGTTATACATGAGATATAATAGCAGGGGTCCTAGCAGAGTAGGTATAAGCTTGCTTCATGCCTATTGCAGCTTACAACTCTGTCAAAAAAAAAAACTACAATAGGGGGAAAATATATATAGATTCTTGCATGATAGGGCCAAGTGCAACATAGACAATATATAACATTGCATAGTATTATATATTATAATACATAGGCATATTTATATTTAAAATACGTAAACTACCCTTTATCCAAAGGGTGTCTCAAATTGTGGTAGGTATCATTCTAAATAAGATGAAAGTAATACAGTAGCAATAAGATAGATATTTTAAAAAATATGTTCTGTCTTGTTTGGGTTTTGAAGCTTAAACTCATAGTATTCTTTTGTTACTCATAATTTCACACTCAGGCCAATTGTTTGGGGACAATTAGTGGATTATGTTTTTTCCATACCATACATTGTACTACACGTTCAGCTGATGAGGGCAGAAGTGCAATCTTGTTTCTGAACCTACTACAATTTCTCCTTTTTCTTCTAATCCCCCGGGTAAACTTGAAATTCCCCTATTCCTCATTTGAATAACAGTTGGGAATTTTTTCATTGGGACCGTGTTTGCCCACTTTTCTATTGTGACTTTCATTCTGCACTGAGGTTGGCAAGTTTCCCAGCATATCTTGTTGCCATTAACTGTTTTTAAAGTATGTAAAAAATATATTACCATGGAACCTCAGTTTCCATTGCCCTCATGCAGGCTAAGCCTTGCTGAAGTAGGTCATCAGGTCTGCTGCATCTAAATTAAACCCTGTCTCCTAAGGCTTAACTTCATCTCTCACTGTTGGAGATAAGGATTTGACTGCCACAGGATAGGATTATCAGGCTCCTGACTAAGGTTGGGTTTCTGATACACCTATCTTTGAAACATCTTTTGTTGGCCATGACTTAGCCAGACAGCACAGTCTGAGCCACAATCGTACCTTTATATATATAAAAAATCAGTGACTACATTTAAAAGATACCCATGTCGATATTTATATTATTGAATAATAGCTGGGTAACTTTCCCCAGTATAATTGGCATAAACAAGTATATCCCTTGGTGCATCGTATGGTAAAATGGTTGCATTTCCCTACTGGCTGCTACTGTATTAAAACCAATTCAGATTATCTTGTTGCTTTTTACCAGAAATGTTTATGCACCTTCCAATGACGTATATTCATTCCATAAAAATAAATATAGATTTAACTACCTGGAAGGCATGGCACACATGTCTGACTTGTAAACATGGTCAGGAATTTGAAAACGACGGGTACCTTCAGAGCCTTCAATTTTAATTGTAGAATGCCTAGCATTTCATAAGCAACAAGTGGGCATTTATGTCTAAAAAAGTATAACAGAAATAGCAAGGAGTCCACCCTCTTGGCATCAGGTCCCTCTCTAAGGTTCAAAGAGCCTAGTCTTTAGCTGTTAGTAAATAAAGCAAGGGGCAGAAAAACAGAATTTCAAAATTCAACACTTGCAGTTTTTTCCCCTGACAAACCAATCTGCTTTCTTTTTTTAGAAGGAAAAAAAAAAGACAGGTTGGTCCTAGCAGATAATAGCAAATCTTTTCTGTAGTTATGGGAAAGTAGATACAGATAGTCCTTGCTTATCAACAAGTTTTGCAACAAATCCTCTCATTATAACCATTGCAGCATCCCATGGTTATAATTGCTATTTGGGCAAATTTCACAACTGAAAAAAAAAAAATCACAATTTGCAGTCACATGATATTTCATTTAATGGCCAAAGATGAAATCAGGTTGTAAGACAATCGTGTGGTCATATGATTTTCCACTTAGCGACCACAGCATTTAGAAATAGAGATACTGGCCCCAATTGTGGTTGTTAAGTGAAGATACCTTTATGGATGTTGCAGGGTAACTCACATTTCCATTTTTTAAAAAATATGAACTTTCATGGTAATTTGATAGAAGGCATCACCATAATTTTAAGCACTTTTTCCCTCCCTTGTGTGGAGGTCTATAAACCTCTGTACTGGTTTGAAGAAGGTCAGCTCTCGAGAAGCCGTGGCAGGAAGACAGCTGAATTTTAGGAATTTTGAAAGTTGGAATTTTTGAACCCAGCTGTATGACAGGGTTGGCTTTAGAATCCCCACTGTACCCACCAGTGTTGTATAAAGTCTACAAACCTATAATTGTTGCAAAATGAACTCACTATAGTCAGTTTTTGTACTCTGCATATAAAATGTTTTTACTTCATTTTCAGTCAGGAAACATACCAAAGTTTGTTGTTAAGTGGATAAGAAGGTGGACATGTCTTGGTATGAGGAAGACCTGAAGACTTTGTGTATATATTTGCTGGGCCACTTTTGTGATTAAGGCGTCAGGCTAGAAACCGGAAGACTGATCAGCTCTAGGAAGAAAGCATTGGCAAACCCTTTCTGAAAATCTTGCCAGGAAAGCTGCAGGAACATGTCCAGGCAGTTGCCAGGAATCAACGCTGACTTGAACTCCCACTCCACTCCCCCAAAAGTCACTTTTAGTGCATTATGCTCACTGGGGAGAGAGGAACTGTGTTTGATTGTTGGATGCCAAGAAGGCATCTACAGAAAGCAGCCTCTGGTCTGAGGTTTTCATTAATGCATGAATATACCAGATAAAAATGTATACAGGTAGTCCTCAACTTATGACTATAATTGAGCTCAACATTTCTGTTGTTAAGCTAGACATTTGTTAAGTGAATTTTGCCTCATTTTACGATCTATCTTTCCACAGTTAAGTAAATCATTGCAGTTGTTAAATTACTAACATGGTTGTTAAGTGAATCTGGTGTCCCCCCATTGGCTTTGCTTGTCAGAAGTTCGCAAAAGGAGATCATATGATCTTGGTAGACAGCAATTGTCATAAATATGAACCATTGGCCAAGCCTCTGAATTTTGATCATATGATCTTGGGGATGCTGCATGGGTCATAAGTGTGAAAAATGGTCCTAAGTCACTTTTTCCCCCCAGTGCCGTTGTAACTTTGAACGGTCACTAAACAAACTGTTCTAAATCGAGGTACAGGTTGACTTATGACCACAATTGAGGCCAACATTTCCGTTGCTAAGCAAGGCAGTTGTGAAGTGAATTTTTCCCTATTTTGCTATCTTTTTTGCCGCAGTTAAGTGAATCACTGCTTGTTGTTAAGTGAATCATGTGGTCATTAATCTGGCTTCCCCCCATTGACTTTGCTTGTCGGAAGCAAAAGGTGATCACATGACCCCAGGACAGAACAACTGCCAATTGTCAGGCGCCCGAAATTTTGATCACGTGGCCATGGGGATGCTGCAACAACGGTCGTATGTGGGAAAACTGGTCGTGTCACTTTTTTTCAGTGCCTTTGTATCTTTGAATGGTCGCTAAACGAATGGATGTAAGTCAAGGACTGCCTGTAGCAACCTGAAAATGTTGAGTATGCAGCAGTTTAAATGAGGCTTACTACTTCCATAGCTCCTGCAGAACTCATCATAATGAAAAAGTGGCAATTCCTTGGTTATCAACTTTTGGCCACTCCTAGCTTAAAAGGTTCTGAGAGTTGCAGGTGGGCATCTCATGCTATGATTCCCAGCATATTGTCTTATTTGCTGGTGCCATCCAGTAACTAATAGATAGCTTTTAATGGATGAAAAGCAGCTCGTGCAATTGTATGAAGAGTGACTAATGTCTGTAATATATGAAAGGGAATCAATCTGACATACGTGGCTCTTCTTAGAAGCCATTTAATTCATCTCTGGGGGGAAATAATAATGGGGAGCAGCCAGAGAAGAAAGAAATGCACAGCACCTGCAGGAGCTGACTTACTACAATGCCCAAAGGCCCTGCGTGTTGCAGGTGTGTGACATGAGGTAATCACTAATCCTCTCCTCTCTTTGTCCATACTAGGTACCTGGTAAAACCCATCAGTAGGCCTGGAGTCAAAAATCTGCAGCTAATACAAAACTCTCTTCTGCTCTTTGGCTCTCCATGCGAGCCAGGGACAAATGGATGCCATCGCAAGTGCCGGCCTCAAGAGGAAGTTTGACGATGTGGACGTGGGCTCGCCCATTTCCAATTCCGACGATGAGATCTCCAACAGCGACAGCGCGGACAGCTGCGACAGCGTCAATCCTCCAAGCTCCTCAGGCTTCATTCGTAAGTGTTGGCATTAGAGGGTTTTTGAAACACGGTTCACTCCGTACAGGTGGCCCTCAATTTATGGCCGCAATTGGGCCTGGAATTTCCGTTGCTAAGTAATGTGGTTATTAAGTCATCCTGTGATCATGCCTAATTTTTTGCTGTAAACCACATGGTCACTAAGTGAATCCAACTTCCCTTACTGATTTTGCTTGTCAGAAGCAGGCAGGGACAATTGCAAATGGTGATTGCATGGCACCCCCCCCTCTCCCCCCAAGACACTGCAGCTGTCGTAAGTGTGAGCTAGTTGCCGTGCCTAGAAGTGTGACCACTGGTCGTAAGTCAATTTTTTCAGCAGCACTGTAATTTTAAACAGTCACTAAACAAATGATTGTAAGTCAAGGACTAACTGCGTCATCAGCATTAATTCTGGCAGTACTTATTGAAGAATTTACCTGTTCCATCTGTTAGTCACTGAAGCCTTGCTTCTCAAGAAAGTCTTCCATGGTGTCAAACTTTTGCAAGAATGGGATGACTTCTCAGGTAAAGCAAGAGTAGTAAGTATGGACTTCTGCCTAGCTCAGGGGTCTGCAACCTGAAACAGTCAAAGCCATTTGGACCCATTTCCCACAGAAAACAAAACACCAAGAGCCACAAAATCTGAGTGGGCATGGCCAACTCGACGTCACTCACTCCCATCTAGTCACATGACACCCCCAGCCACGCCTACCCAGGTTTTGTAGCACCCAGTGTTTTTTATGGAAAACGGGTTTCTCTTTCTCTCTCCCGCCTTCTCTCCCTCTCTCCCATCTCTCTCTTTCTCCCTCTCTCTCTGTCTCCCTCTCCCTCCCTCCCTCCCTCTCATCTCTCACTGCCCACCACTTCCCAACCCACACACCCAGGGAATAACTAACCAAATTCGGCCACGTTCTCTCTGTCTCTGGAAAGATACAAAGATAAACGTTGCATTGCAAAAGGAGTGACTGTCAGGCTGTTACATCACAGCGCCACGAGGTTGCCACCTTAGATTGCTGCACACACTTCAGAGAAGCATCATCTCAAGCAGTAGCACACTCACACAAGCACTCATATGCATCCTGCAACTTGGGCCAAAGTGGCTAGAAAATATAGTCCCTGGGTGCCCCCAAAGACACGTGGCAGGCAAAGTACAGGATGACCCGTCCCCAATCACCAAATCAGTGTCTGCTGATTCCTTGCAAAACTGGACAAAGGTGGAGAGAGGGGAGCAAACAGAGCTGAATTGAGCTGAATCTGTTTCTCTCTCTCTCTCTGTGTCCCTCACTCGCGGCCCAATTGCAGCAGGAAACAGAGGGTGGCTACCGCCGGCCTTGGTTAGTGCTGGATGCGCAACCTGCTCTCCGTGCCGAGAGAGAGAGAGAGAGCTGCCAGGGACGAGTTGGGCAGGGAATCGGCTCCAGGAGGAGGAGGGGACCCAGTCTCCCCCATTGTGAAGTGCACTTCCACTGTGCTGCGCAAGGCACTGCAAGAGCAGTGGGCAGGCCATGGAGGGGTTATTGGGTCTTCCCCCGCCCCACACCAAAAGGAAAGTCAGCTGGACTTCTTCTCCTAGAAGCCCCGCTACCCTTTCCTCTGCTCCCTGCTCCCCTACCCCCCATTCAATCCCACTTTGGGATAGAGGAGCATGTGCTGGAAACGCGTGTTGGGGCGACATCAGAGAACATCTTCTGACCCACCGGTGCTCAGCCCGCAACTCTCCGCACTCATCCAAGCCCGGCTTGCTGAGGAAGGGGGGGAGCAGCCCTGACCCCTCCGCTGCCTCGACCTCCCATGGCCCCAGCCATTGCTGCCCGGCTTCCTCAAAGATGCGGCGCATATCAAAGGCGGCAGCTCGTGTTGAAGGTACCGAACAGCGGGACAGCTGTGTGAGCCGGGCCAGGCCTCTCCACCGTCCGACTCACCAATGGGGGCACTTCTGCTGAGCCATCCGCCGCCCCCCACGCTGGGCTTTTGTGCTCGGCTGCGGGAGGGGAGCACTTCCCCATGCCGCCTCCTTTCTCTTGACCCCGGCGATGAGGGACAAGGAAAGTCAGGCTTGGGGGCTGGCCCCCACCCTGCAAGATCCGCCCTCGCTGTTCTCTCCCAGACTCCTTTGCTGGCGGCAACCACAAATGTACGGCGAAAGCAGAATTCTGTTGCCGTGCAAAGGCAAATATAGGGGCTCTTCGCTCCCGCACTAAGGCTCCGCCCACCGCCATGACAGGGCGACAGCTCTTTCATCTCTCTGCCGCAACAGGGCCACAGAGAGCCACATGCAGAAAGAGCTGCATGTGGCTCTGGAGCCACGGGTTGCTGACACCCAGCCTAGCTGCTTCTGTGTTGCCAACCAATGAAAGTTTGTCAAGAGCAGCCTAAAGATAGCCTATAATTTCTTTCAGTCAGTACAGTTATTATGAAGCTGTTCCATTTTACGGAGTTAATAATTCTAATAAAAGTGTGCATAGTAGTCTTTTCTCCCACCCACCCCCAATCTGATCCTAGTAGAATATATATCCCCACTTTTGCTGTTTTTGGTCTCTTGGGTGTAATAGAAGCAAATCATGTGAGAAGTTGCTATTTTCTTAGATGCTCCGTATAGGATTGATTAGTTCAGGGGTCCCCAACTCTCAGGCCACGTCCCTTTCGGAACCAGGCAGCAAAAGTGGAGGGCGAGAACACGCACACAGCTCCACTTGCATGAGCAGCGAGAGCACGCACGCACGCACGCATGCAAGAAGCTCCATTTGTGTGAGTGGTGGGTGCGCCATTACTTCACTTGCACAAATGGAGCTGCTCACGCACGCTCCCGCTGCTCATACAGATCCCCTGTCTCCCCCCCCCTCCCGGGTGGGCCACCAAGCCAGAAAGGTTGAGGCCTGCTGGATTAGTAGTCCATAATACCTTGATTAGCAGGACCATTTAGCACTTAGGATTCAAGGCAGAAAAATCTTTTTGTGTGAGTTGGGGGATGAATGATCCACTACATTCCTCTGGTGTTCTCTACACCCCTCCCCATATTTGTTTGAGATGTGAAAGAGAAGGCTGCTCTCTTTTCTGTCCTTGTCTCCCCTTTTCTGAAGCAGTGCTCCCCTGATATCAGATAGCTGCCAATCCGGTAAGCTTTTTACAAGACCTGGCTAATTTCAGCAAGTATTCAAGGAACCACTTCAGTCTCTCCTGACTGAATGCATTTGGCAGAACCCAGGAGATGGGCCTTTTCTGCCATGGCACTTGCCCTGTGGAATATCATCTCCTCTCCCCCCCCCCCCCCCCCCGCCCCCAAGTTGAGATTGGCCCTGTCCTGATAATCTTCCGGAAAGCCCTCAAAACATGGCTATATCAGCAGGCCTGGGGAATCTCACAGAAATGGTGATATCAGGAGATGGCCGCATTATTTTTAACATCTCTTTTTCTCTACTGTTTTGGTATTAATAATGTTGATTTAAAAAAAAAAAAGTATACTTGTTTTACTATTGTCCCTGTGAGAAGGGTGGCTGTAGAAATATAAATAAATAGACGCTATTATGGTTGTTCCTCAGTGCTGGGTGTTATTTCTTATGTTGGTTACATTTTTCTGTTTAGCTTTTAACCTTATTACTGTTCTGGATCTCGGTAAGCTGCTCAGAGTCAGACATGATTAGAATAGCATATGAGCCTAGTAAAATAAATAAATTCCCTAAAGCAGCTGTGCCTTTTCCTAGGATCATGTGTCTGCCCTTGTGCTCTGCCTACCCATATTGATTACCCTCTTTTATCAACTCTTGGAGCATGAAGAGTTATAAGAAATTAATCAGCACTTTAGTCTTAGTTCAGTAGAATAGCCGTTAGTTCAAACAGCTTACATTCTGCCCCAATGATTGTTACTCAGATAGGCTTGCCTATGTTAACTTCATTGCTGGTTATGATTGGAGAAGGAGGTTAGATGTGAAAAGATGATTTGCTGGATAAGGACCTGACTTGACAAAATAGTGCCATGCCTGTTGTTTTACACCATTAGTGGCATTTGAAAAATCGATGGCGATGCCGCATTGATTCTACAGAACCTTAAGATTTCTCAGTATTTCCCAGATTTCTGGAAAGGCAGCTTGCCTGTTGCTATTAATACGCCTGTGTGGTGCACAGCCAGAATTTTAAATAGCTTACAGACTTCACTCTTGGTTGTTCAGAGCTACAATAAAACCCTGCGGGCTTCGGCCAGTGCTCTTTATATCCTGGAACATGCTCAGAAACCTGTCCAGCGCTTAAGAATTAAGTGGCAGGTATGTGTCAGTGCGGAAGATTTTGAAAGCTGCTATGGTGGAAGACACATTCTTCAAACAACATCTGGCACGGGTGCTCTGTAACGATGAAGAAAATATTAAATGGGGTGTGTGACAGGAGGCCCATCCTTGCTTCAATTTTCAAGCGATGTTTCTGTTTTGTTTTCTTACATATCAGCAACCTCCATCTTAAAAAGGCAGAAACAGCTGCGTAGAAAGAACGTGCGCTTCGACCAAGTGACCGTGTACTACTTTGCAAGGCGTCAGGGATTTACCAGCGTTCCTAGCCAAGGGGGCAGTTCCCTGGGCATGGCCCAGCGGCATAACTCTGTCCGCAGGTATACCCTTGGTGAATTTGCCCAAGAGCAGGAAGTGAATCACCGTGAGATCCTTCGAGAACACCTAAAGGAGGAGAAGCTTCATGCCAAGAAAATGAAGGTAGGCTTTTGGCAGGCAGAAAAGTCCTTTTTGGTCCCTCATTTGCAGAGTTTTTGGTGCTGCAGCTTGACCCTATTTTCATACGTATGTAGCAAATATAGCAAGGTTGGGAATTGATTTTGAATGCCTGTAAGCCTTTTCCCAATTTGATACGGTGAGTTCATATCAGGCCTACCTGTGGGAAGCGGTAGAGAAAGACCTAGACCACGGGTGTCAAACTCGCCGCATCACATTACTGTCACATGACGTATCGTGACTTTTTTCCCTTTGCAGAGCTGGGGTGGGTGTGGCCTGCGCATGCCACATCTAGCCCGTGGGCCACCAATTTGACACCCCTGAACTAGACAATCATATGGTTCTTTGGTGTATTTGCCTGGACTTTTTTGTTTGTCTGTCTCTGCAGTTATTAAGAAATAGTATTCCAAATATGCACTTCTGATTATTTTGCATTTTGGTTTTCTTTCCTGTCTACTCCATTATGTTAATTCTGCGCCCCAAACCGAAGTCCGTTTCTCCCTGGATTTCCCCATATTTCATAGACTACATACAGCCCTCCATCTGGATTGGAATATGAGAAATGCCGCTGGTAATGTGAAAATGAGCTTTGAAGAATTTCTTCTTGAAGTGAATGAATGTGAAGCTGTCAAGAGCTTTCCCTCCGGGGCTTTTGGTGAGGAAGGGTCAGAGATGAGCTTTCTGAGGAAAAGCTAAGGATTCCTCGCCATCCAGCAGCAGGGGAGCCCTCGCAGCCAAGAGACAAGTACTGCTAGTCATGCCAACCAGTTTTCTAGCCTCTGTTTTGTGTCAACTTGATTCATGGGAAGGCTCAGCAATTGCAGCAAAAGCCTCTCCCCTTTTAGCCTCCTCCAGCAAGCTTCCTGTTCGGTCCATCTCCTTATCATGCCTCCTGGCAGCCTGGTTGGTGTGTCCTGTAGGTTGCCTAGCAACTGGGTTTCCCTTACTGAATTGAATGCTTCTGTCAAAAAACAGAGACGGCCCAATCATTCCCTTGCTACCATGACAACCAGCTTAGCCAAAAGGACAAATATTCATTCTGTAGTCCTGCAACTCTGGCCTACTTCTTATAGTTTTTAAAGGAAACCAGTTTCTGAACTGCACTGCTTCAAGGTCTAGGTTTGTCCTTATACGATCCATCCTTGTTTATGCATATGCCACCTTCTCCAGAAGGTGAAAAAGAGAAGGATCTGGGTTGTGACTTGCTAACTAGCTTGGTAGCTTTCTGTGGTGGCTGTTTTTGGTTGTATGAATGAACATCTGGTCCTGGATACCAATCCAACCTTCTTATATATTGAGGTGGACTTTGTCTGAAAAGAAGCCTGCTTATTTATGTATTTATTTCCCAACTTTATTATTTTTACAAATAACTCTAGACAGCAAACATATCTAACACATCTTCCTCCTGTTTTCCCCACTACAACAATCCTGTGAGGTGGATTGGGTTGATTGAGAGTAACTGGCCCAAAGTTACCCAGCTGGCTTTCCAAAAAAAGTAGTTGCAGCTTTGGTAATAAAACTGTGGTGCTCTTGAAGACGATGGGGAACATGCAAAGTGCTTTTCTAAAACATGAGGGTTTTGTATATTCCAGAGAATTTGGCATTCTGAAAATCCATTTTTCCCTTTCACGGTCTGTTAGTTGCACAGAAATGTTGAAGGTCCTATCATATACATTTTAAAGGTTTCATTTCTATATTTGTCATGCAACTCCTTGTCATTTTTAATGTCAATTCTATTTTCTCACGTATCTGTTCCTTATTCAGCCACCTTACAACAACCTACAAAATCTCTCTTCCCTCTAGTTGCCATGTCTCTGCCCAAAAAAAAACAACCCTCACATAAGTCTTCTCCCCTCCCAAGATTGGAGGTGAAACAAATTTGTACTCTGTTCAGCAGACGATGAGGTTTTGTTTTGTTTTGTTTTTTGTATGAGGCACCAATCGGCCAAGTGTACCTTCTGCTTTGCCCTTGAGGACAGGCTGTGTCTGCCAGTAGAAAAATTACTGTGCTTTCCACATGGCCAGCAATGCGAATGGTTGTGTCCGTCATCTGTTTGGTGTAAGAAACATCAAGCTACAAATGTGTTTAGCGTCTCAGCAAAGTCGTGATGTAATGATTGGATCAAGGTCACCCTCAGATCCCCCCCTCCCGCCCCCTCAAGGTTCTAGAATTCCCAAATCCAAGCTCCACCTGTCACACTGCTTCCCTCAGAAAATGGAGGAGACCGGATTGCAGTGCTCAAGCAGAGCTTAGTTCTCACCTCAGCCCTCGGCTGTGTTGCATCATGTCTCTCAGGAATGGTCCTTTGTAATGCCACAGCTACTCTGATGAAACACTGCTACTCGCTTTGTTTTTGCCATCAGCTTTTCTTTTCTTTTTAATTTTGAATTTTTATTGCATTTTACGAAGGGTATAAAAACCAAAAGAAAACATTTTAAAAATAGGAGGAAGGTGGGGGGGGGAATGGGGTTGCAGGCAGTGAGGGAAATATCTACAAAAAAGTATAACTTCTGACTTTTTTTTGGTAAAGATGTGAATACTGCTTCCATGTTGCCCATGGTTCAGATCCTTTTTTGCTTCCCACTTAAAACAGACACTGTATTTTCTTTTTTCTTCTTAAAATGTACAGGTAGTTCTTGACTAGTAACCACAAGTGGGAACAGAATTTCTATTCCTAAACATAGTGCCTGTTACCTGATTTTACGACCTTTTTTTGCCATTGCAGTGAATCACTGCAGTTGTTAAGTGAAACTGGCTGTCATTAAGCGAACCTGCTTCCCCCTATCAACTTGATTTCTCAGCAGTTGGCTGAGAAGGTCACAAATGGGATGCCGTAACTGCCATAAATACATGCCAGTTGCCCAAGTCATGTGATCATATAACTATGGGATGTTTCAGTCATGAATGTGAGGACTGTTTATAAGTCACATTTTTCAATGCCATTGTAACTTTCAGTGGTTGCCAAAGGAATGATTGTAAGTCAAGGACCAGTTATGTATATTCATTGTGTAAATAACATGACACAAAGTTTGTCAAAGTGAAAAATATAGAGTATCGTGGTCAACACAGATAAGAAAGAATTATTTGTGTTTTTAGATACCACTAGAAATGTCAAATTTAAACGCAGGATTTTGCCTTGGAAAATGTGCTACTCTATATACATATATCTCCTCTGAGTTTTTTTTTGGGGGGGGGAAATGAGATCTACAGGGTTGTATGGGAGTTACCATTGTCCAAACCATGATTTGAAATTTCCCACGTCAAATAAAGTAAATGAAATACATATCTCCCTCTGATATCATTCTGTTTGAGGGGGCAGATTTTAAAGGACAGATGAATTGGATAAAGGTTCAGAATGGGTGGGCACGGAGCTGGGGAATGTGCAAAGAACTAAACTACTCTCTCTTAATTGATCATGATCTGCCCGCACAAGCCAAGAGCTGGTTTGATCAAAGCCCATAATCTTTTCTAACAAAGCTATGGCTTGTGTAGTAGCTTGAAGGCTTGCATGTGCAAAGGCAAGTCACTGTCAGAATTTACTCCCCAATTTCTCTTGATGTTGCGTTCTGAAAACAAAGGAGAATGAAAAGCCCAGAACATGGTCTAACGGTGCATGTAAAGCTGGATCACTGTTAGAACTTGCTTCTTCTCTGTCCAGCAAGCTTTTGGGCTTACTTCAGCTTTGAAAGTGCAAAAAACCGCATCATTGTCAAAAGTCACAGCCTGGGAGGAATCGGTATTTGGAAGAAACGGGTGACCTTTGCAGCCCAGTTAAACTCAGGGAAATCATTTGTCTTTTTTTTTTTTTTTCCAGACTGAAAACTGATGGGATTTCAATTTCAAGATTAACTTTTGCTGGTGTCTGTGTCTGTTGTGTTCTCTGTTCTTTCCCACACCCCCGCCCCCCCCTAAGCTGACCAAGAATGGAACTGTGGAGTCCGAAGAGGCTGATGGCTTGACGCTTGAGGATGTCTCTGATGATGACCTCGATGTAGAGAACGTGGAGGTGGATGACTACTTCTTCTTACAGCCGTTGCCCACCAAGCGGCGGCGAGCTCTACTTCGAGCCTCTGGTGTCCATCGCATCGATGCAGAGGAAAAACAAGAACTTCGGGCCATCCGCCTCTCGCGAGAAGAATGTGGGTGTGACTGCCGGCTGTACTGTGACCCTGAGGCCTGTGCCTGTAGCCAGGCTGGAATTAAATGCCAGGTCAGTGGGGAAGAAACCGCTAGGCTTTGGCCTGAACCATATCTCTTTTTGCCTGCGTGTCTTTTTGATATGGAGCGGGATCCACTCAAGCCTGGTTTCATGTGTTGAGTCTGAGCTTATTAGAGGTGATTTTTAAAGAGAACTCCTACAAAGTCTTAAGGGGTGATAGGATGTATTGTCTCAGGGATGAAAACCAGCAGGTTCTGACAGATTCTGGAGAACCAGTAGCAGAAATTTTGAGCAGTTTGGAGAACCGGCAAGTACCACCTCTGGCTGGCCCAGGAGTGGGGTGGGAATGCAGATTTTGCAATATCCTTCTTCTGGAGTGGGGAGGGAATGGAGATTTTGCAGTATCCTTCCCCTGGAATAGGGTGGGAATGGAAATTTTGCAGTATCCTCCTCCTGCCATGCCCACCAAGCCATACCCACAGAACCGGTAGGGAAAAATTTTGGATTTCACCGCTGTATTGTCCCCTTAAATGCTCCAAGACTGAAGTTAAAAAAAGAAGCGAATAATTCAGGAGGGAAGATCCTGCTTGAGTTTGTGGAGAAAAACAAACGACAAGATGCAGCTAGCCTCTGGGATGGGGAGCTAAAAGGATGAGGTGGTCTTGAGGAAATAGCACTAGCTTTCCAGGATGATGTGAACTCACTGTAGTTATTCATGTGGGAATCTGCTATTCTTCTGCTTCTCTCTCTTGGCCGCTATATGAAACGAGCGCTTGAAAGAATCCGATCAAATGTTAACTTAAATTACGCAGCGTTTGTGCAAGTTTAACCACATTTTCATAGTATTTGATTTACAGTGTTATGCTTCTTAGACAAAACGAAGAGACAAAGGGATGTTCAGAATCCAGAAGTATTAAATACAGGAAGTCTTAAGTTACTTCTTTTTTGATTTCCAACATCTAAGCTGCTGGGTAATCACCAAATTTCATGCTCTGCATTGTTCTCATCTGTAGCATTTTGCTTCCCCCCCCCCCATGTGGAATGTGTGCATTAGCATTTCTGCTCTTAATATTTTCTTGGCAAAGTCATTCTCTCTCACTCTCTCTGCCTCTTTTGCACCACATCTTTTGCACACTAAATGTCTAGCTCTCAGGTAAAGGATTTCAGGTCCTCTTTCCTGAAAGTGCTTTTATTCTGAAAGAGCATTTGATGGCTTGATAAATGAAGTGTCAAAGAGCACATTCTTTCTTTCACAATAGATCGAATACGACATACTCCAGGCCATTCTTTATTTCTTTTGATTTCTCCTTGAAATACAAGATTTATAGGTAGGGGGAAAGAATTGAATGGGGTGGGGGTGCAGATTCTGGGTTGCTTGCAGGCTATCTAGCCGGTTGCTTTTTGATAACAGCTTACATGAATTTTACATGTTTCATCTGACTTAATTTTCTATCTGTTCACTTACTCTCATTTTAGCCAAGCTTTCATCCTTCCAATCACTTCCTCGGTTCTCACACAGGCCCAGTTTTCACTGTCCTTCGCTTCCCCCACCCAGGTGGACCGAATGTCCTTCCCATGCGGCTGTTCCAGAGATGGTTGTGGGAACATGGCTGGGAGAATTGAATTCAATCCCATCCGGGTGAGGACTCACTACCTGCACACCATTATGAAACTAGAGCTAGAGAATAAACGGCAGGTGAGCCGGGCCCAGGTTCTGGATGAAGAGACCCCTCATAGCTCCGGCAGTGACTGGCTGGGAAGCCAGTCCCCAGAGACCCAGGATTTCCAGGAGTTCATGGCGGAGAATGAAACGGCAGTCATGCATCTTCAGACAGCTGAGGAGTTGGAGCGGCTGAAGGCCGAGGAAGACTCTAGCAGCGGCTCCAGCATGGAAAGCTTGGGGGTGTGCATTTTGGAGGAGCCGCTTTCTGTCTCCGAAGGGATGTGCCCAAGCCTCGCCACACCAATCCTCATTCAAGCTCAGCTGCCACCAGGTTCCTCTGTTCTGTGTTTCACGGACAGTTCTGAGCAAGCCAGCTCAGCTGAGGGCAGCCAACGCTACTTGAACAATGGGCCTGTTGTGTACTATCAGGTTGACCAAAGGTCAGTGCTGGGGGTGAAGGGGGAAAATAGAGCAGAGGAGCCTGAGGGGCCCCCTCGTTACACAGAGGAGAAGGAGCTAAGCATCTACTCTGTCCCTGTGACTTCACTGGTGTCTTGCGGCAGAGCCACAGCCACCAGCAGTGTAGAAACAGAGAAGGCTGCTGTATCTTTCGAGCCCCTGTCTTCTGAGAGCTGTCAGCCTGAAGTTCCTCTGCCAAGCCTGCCACTCCACACAGACGTGCCACAAGACAGTTTGCGGCCCCAGAATGTGGTGCCGCAATCTCCAGAGAGGGCCTGCGAGCTCCCCTCTTCTGAGGAATGCTCTTTGGGCCCTTCTCTGGCCGTGTGACAATTCCCAACCCATCACCTTGATGTTTATTTATTGACAAAAGGTTTTTAATCAAATGGCCATAGCCATTGGGAATTGTTTAATATTGGGGTGTGGGAGGGAAAGGAGAAGGGGGCTGCTTCGTGTGGGCTCCACCATATAAGGACCTAAAACGAGCACTTATAGCTGCCTCGAAGTAGGAGGACCTGTCTACTAGTTGGGCGGCCTCCTGGTTCTGAAGAGGTTGGACCCATAGGCGATGGAACTTTGTAGGGGAGGCCTTGACTCCATCCTACAAGGACCAAATGTGAATGTGTCTCATGGAAGCAATAGAGCAAAGCTGCCTTTTCTAAAGCGCTGGATGGGTTGGAGGGCAGGCGGAAGAGAACACTTGTTGCTACTTCATGACATCAATCAGTCTCTAGGCGTGGTGGAAATCTCTCCCTCCAGTTGCTGATCCCAAGCGAAGCTGCCGCCACCGCTGCCGTCACCCATCCCTTTCTGTCACTTTCAGTGCTGTGTCTTGGTAACGGTGACCTTACTTGCTTGAACTGCTCTAACCAGTTACACAGCTTAAGCTCTGCAACCTCTTATTTATGTGACATTTACTGCCCTTCGTTCCCTGGAAGAATCCCATATATTTTTTAAATTCACTATGAATTAACTTTGATCATGACTAGCTTACACCTACAGTTTGGCATGCAACTGTCGTAAAAAATAATTTTCATCCTGGAGCCTCTGCCCTGCCCCTGCCAATAGCTTCACCCAAACATGTTCACGGCCCGTTTTGCTGGCTGGCCTTTGCTGGGACTGATTATGTTTAAACTAAGTTTTTTTAAAAATGCTGAATGTTTACGGACATGATGTGACTCAAGTCTTGTCACGGACTCTATGATCCTAAGCTGTCACCTCCGACTAGAGTCCCTTTGGGGATCTATTTCTGTAAACAATGAACGCCCTAGGATCGGGTGGGATCCAACTTCCTTCTGAAAAGAACTGCCAATTTGGGTGGGCAGAGAATTCGACAAAGTACTTATTAGCCTTTTGCCCCATAGTTTTCTGAATCAATTTTCCCTTCCACTATCTCAGTCTTTTCCATTCTAGTTGCACAAGAATTTGGAGGTGATATTGAAAGCTTTCTGTCCCCTTGCTCCTTGCTTAGCAACCTAGCATTCTGGATGACTTGAAAGGGCACGGAGTCTGTGTGCAGTAAAACTGCAACCTGCTGGGTACCAAGCATTTAGGGTCAGTAAATGTGCAATAAGGTGGCACCTGCAATTCCCCTCCTGGTGAAGTGTGTACATTGTTCCAATTGGTCTTGGAATAAAGGGAGAAAGGACGTCCTTATAAGCTGCCACTCCACCCCTATGACAACTCTAGGGTAACAAAAGCACTTTTCTCTTCCAGCTTACCAGGCATCCTTTCCTTCTTCATCTACCTAAACAACAGATAATCATTGTCTTTCTCTGTCATCACCTGTTCTGACCCAGCTCATGTTACAGCCCTGTGGTGTATGGCCTGGTAGATCAGCAAGAACTGGTTTCCCAGTATTTAGGAATCTTTCTTTTTTCAGACTGCTCAAGACTTACAGTGAGTTGCACGAAAGCTATAGTCTGGGTAATTCAGTTACCCATAACTCCTTATGCATAAGAGAGGGTGGGATTTAAATAGCCTTTGCAGAGAGATCTATCCTCATCAAAACCTACCTCCCAGCTGAGAAATAATACAGGCACCATCAGAACTTAAATAGGTGTTTTGTGTTTTTCAGGCATATCACCAGATCTGTGTGAATGCTGGGCCATGTAAGTTTCTAGATGCTGAATCTGAAAAGATTTAACAGGTTTGCCCCTTAATTGAAAAGCTGCTTGGGAGTAGGCAGAACAAAAAAACTCTGGCGGTAGCCAAGTCTAACTTAATTCTTGGCTGTTAACAATCAGTGATGAGCAATCGGCGCTGCCAGTACATCCAGAAAAGCCTATTCTCCTGAAAGTGACTCTCTGTAAGATAAACACTAGCAAATGCTGTGTAGGCGGCAGCTGAGAAAAACTGACTATAACTATTGACATGTAACATCATTCCAGGCTTCAGAATAGATGCAAAGACTCCAATACTAAATTCCTGTCTTGATTTTTACCTTATTTCACCCAAGCTCTCCTTGTGCAGATTAGCATATAGTATACAGCCAGGGCTTCTGTACTTTTGCCAGACTACTAACTACTTAATTGCTTTCACATCACTACCTTTTTGGGGGGGATTGTTCAGAAGCAATGCTATGATTAGTGAGCAAATGTCTCCTTTGTACATTTTAAAATGTAACAGGATGAACGTGCAGCCTTAAAAATGTCCACTGTCCTCGTCTTTAAAAAGCCACACGTTGTTGCATGACACACACAAACACTCCTTCCTATACACTGATCTCATTCCTGAGAGGGTGTTTAGGCTTTTATTCCATGCTGTTTTACCCCCAGGCTACTGTTGGGTTTGAGGGTCCATTGGTGTCTTTAGGAAGAATCTTTCCTAATTCTCACATTTGTAGTTTACAAAACAAGTGGTGCTATAAACTAGATTTATTTTCAAGGCAGCTGATCCCAGATGCAACTCTCACTGTAGCAAATGTACTTAGTGCTCCTCACATCTGAATCAAACAGAATAGAAAAAATTTCCTCCTACATTGAATGCATAGCTTTGTAGGTATCTAGGTCAAAGAGAAGGCATCTCTCATAAAATTCTCAACTCTTTGAAAGCACCTTGGCTATTTATAATACTGACCTGTAACTGCTTTTTTACACAATTACAGTAATATTATTATGGGCAGCTGTGGGTTTGTTTCAGGACAAGATGCACTTGCCTTTTTCCTATATTACTCCTCCATTGTTTCAGCTATAGTCTTTATAGCCCTGAATTAGGACCATTGTGTTGTAGATCTGCTCTAAAGTAGTAGCTAAAACCAGAGATTTTGCTGCCTTTAACTGCATGGTGTTATTCTGGGGATTGGGCACAATCAGCCCTAGAATCAAGATTTTCAATGGGGCTTACCTCAATCCTTGCAGATCTGGCAGTATAAGAATCTCCTCCTGTTGAGTGCTTAAACTGTTGCACCCCTTGGCCACCTGCCAATTCTCACAGATGGTTTGGTGGAATACACTTTCTGAAAATGGAAGCAGCTTCACACTTAAAATACCAGGATTCCATTTTTATAATGCAGAAACAATTCTCGTGACTGACATTCCGGAATGCAATGATTAATGTAACGGCTTGGTAGAAACTAAAGTACTAAAATACTACATTCTTACCCAGAGGTGTAGATAAAAGGGAAAACAGAACCTCAACATAGCCATCTGAACTATTAAATTTTACACTGGCTTTCTTTTCCACGAGAATGCTTAGTTATGACAGGAAAATACCACCTTAAATAGCTATTTGTAGAAAAACAGCTAGGGGGAAAAACACTCCTTCCTGAGCATTCTGAAAAAAGAAAGGGCGCTGATCTCAAATGACAATTTTATTCCTAAATCCTATAGTAGAGGCTGGGCTTCTTAGAAAGCTTTTGTTTTAAAGAATGTTCTTTAATGCAAAAAGGCCTATTCTCTTGCCTGTCTCCCTTTTGTTATTAATAACAAAACTCTCTTTCTTACTTTGATGTGGTGGTACATTCGCCTGTTTTCCCTTCTTCCCTTCTTTTGGTGCTACTGAACTGTTTACAGGACAGCCCTTTTACTACCTGGAAGAGACTTCTATTAACAGAAGCCCTGGTCTGACATAATTGGTATTAGCCCTGTCCTCTTTTGTCACTTGCAACTGATAACTTCATAACTCTGCTTTCCTGCAGGAAATACACAGGTGGCATTTTCAATGTGAATCCAAAGCTTGTCAGGTCCTTTACATTTTGTTTTGCCTTTATGTTCTTTTCATTGTGATAATGCTGTATTTAAAGAGGATATTTAAGTGTAAAAGCAAATAAATGCGTAAACTTACATGAAGCGAATTTTGTTCTCAAAATTGTAGCCGCCTTCTATTCAGTTACAGACCCAGTGTGCATGCACGTTTTCTGGTATTTTTCACAGCTGCTTTTAACCAAAGTGCAACATATGATTAATACTTGCAGAGTCTGCATTTGTGAAACAATCCTTTGTCTAAAGGAACTAAACAGTATCAAAGTATGTACAATGTTTCATCATAATGGAGAGATTCTGCATTGGATCATTGTAGATATCACCTTCCAAGGTAGTTTTTGCAGTTTGGCTTAATTTTGATTTGTGACAAGTTATCAATTTATCTCATAGAGAAACCTTATGGAAAAACCTTTTCACGCATCACATCCAAGGTTTTTATTCCCTTGCATAGATGTTATTTCAAAAAGACTGATCATATTACTTGGACTAAAGTGCACACAACAAAGACTTGGGTCATGAACTTAGTAGTCACTAGTTATTTTATAGGGGAAAACAACTATTCATAGTTTGAGTGTTTCCAGTAATTTATGACTCAAGCTCAGATACTCAAGGGGAGTCACAATAGTGATATATTAACAGAATGACTTCAAAACTCCACAATTAAAAGATCGATGCATTTTTTAATGTTAGCCATCTTTAATGGTAAACATTTATCTTTCAAGTAAAATACATATAATATATACATTTCTCACACGTTTTATGATTAGCTCAAATACAGACTTCCTCAATTTACACATGCCATCCAGAATTCCAGATTCTGGTATACTACATGCAGTCTTTTTTTTTTAATCCACCTCTTTCTTCCCCATCCCTAAATGATTTTTCAAGTCTGCTACACTTCATAATAATAATAATAAAAAAAAAACCCTGCAAATCTTATGGCTCCTGAGAGACCAAGATTGAGTCTTCCCTTTTGATAGGAATGACCAGTGCTATCTCAGCTGTGCCTTCCCAGTCTTTTGCTGGCTTGGGTCTTTACCATTAAGTCCTGCAAAATATGTGTTGTGTGGGTTAATTATAATACACCTAGATAGACAGAGGCTTTAGCTTCAATACTGACCTAACATTTCCATCCCAGTTCCTCTAACAATTGCAGCTGGAGAGAGAAATAGTGTCCCTGGAACATTTCAAGACAAAAGGGATGGAAGAAACAAACAAACATTAAGACATGTGGATCGATCTCCCTCCCCCCCCCCCCCCCGCCCGCCTTAACTGGCAAGACTGAAATCACAGAAAGTGGTTATGTGACTCTGTATTTGACAAAAAAAGCTGCATTGTACCAATGTGTATTCTGCAATTGTTCATTTTGTGTGTGTGTGTGTGTGTGTGTGTGTGTGTGTGTATCTTTGCACCACTTCCTGGCCATTATGAAACAAACTTCATTGTAGCCATTTGAGGGAGTAGAGTGTCTTTCCAACCGAAGATTTTGCCTCAAGCATTATTAGCAAGACTTTGGACTGACAAGTCTGAACAGACATACATTATACTCTGACAATCCAAGAAAGGGGCCTGTGAGGTCATAACTGAACTAGGCTTAAATTGCAAAGTTAGTGAAATATACAGCAGAGATATTTTGTTGTGCTATTTTAGCAATTATCTTCATTCAAAACAGCCAGTGGGAAAATTCTATTCGTTTTGCAATGTTTCTTCTAGTGCCAACTCTACACTAACAAATTCACTGAAGATTCTTCTGCTGGATTCTTGCCTCCCAACCCACCCCCCCCCCCCCCCCCCCTTTCTGTGTCAATGAAAAGAAAATGTATTCCCCTTTCTGGTTCACTCTTCAGTCAATATACAGTATATATTCAATAATCCAGAAGGGGCTGTTTCCGGTTAGCTCTTAGAGGAACGAGTGAAGTTGATAGAAAGTAAGACCATCGCGTGTGCCAAGAGTGAAGTCTCAGAGTCTGAAAAGATAATAGCTTTCTATTTCACTGGATTATATTCACAAACATTTTAACACTAACTTTGAATTGCAAAGAGCTTTTTCTGACATATAGAAATAGGAAGGAGACAATTCTCAATCCCTTCTGAAAGATCAGCAAGACTTACCTTTAAAAATAAATTATTTCAGTTCAGAAGGTTAAACACAAATTTTATTTTTGCTATGTTTTTATAGCTAAGAACTTCATTAGTTTTATGGGTAGAACACTAATCTTTCCTGGTATTGCAGTCTAAGCATTTTTCTATTTATAACCATCTTCTCTGTGGCCCCTCCTTGCAATGCATCTGTCTGCTTGTTTCTGTTAACTTTCTGTAGCAGCATCACAGCTTCTGACACGACAAATTCCCACCACAATTTGATACTCGTTACACAGAGAAATGGCCGATGTTGCCCCAGGGTAGCTGTGGAGTGTGTATGTCAAGAAATAAAATGTGACACGTTTCAATCCTCTGCATAACTCAGCCTACAGAAGTATTAGTCGTGTATTTTTCCGCCAACCTTTATTTTTTGTTTTGAATTCATCTCTTTTTTTGAGTTTGCATTGCCACATGAAGTATCACACACACAAAAACTTAACATGTATTGAGTTCCCTTTTTTAAAAATCACAATTATAAGTTTAAATAAGACATGGAGAATTAAAAATGATCAGAGAACATATTAATGAGAAAGGAGGGCATAAAAGACCCTGAAATAAGCTCAGCTCTACTTAACTGGGTTCTTTGCTTGGGATTTTGATCTTTGAAGACTTTCATCTGGCCAAAAGCCTTAACATTTTATTAAAAATGGAAACTCAGATTTTCATTTTGTGTCATTTATTAAATTAAAGCAGCGAGAGCACTCAAAAGTGCAGGACATCACTTAGCTAGAGCTAAATGTTACAATGATCCATCCTAAATTATTATATACACAAAATTGAAACAGTTAAATAGAGATGAGATCAAGCATTCCAAGAACTCAGCTGACAATATATATGAATGCAAGTAGTCCTCAAACTTACAGTCATTCATTCAGTTAGGATTTGAGGTTACAACGGCACTGAAAAAGTGATTTATGAGCAGTTCTCACATGACTGCCGTAGCATCCCCACGACCACTTGATCAAAATTCAAGAGCTTGACAACTGTGCTTGACAGTTGCACTGACCTGGGGTCATGTGATCATTTGTAACCATCCCAGCTGGCTTCTGACAAGCAAAGTCAATGGGGAAGCCAGATTCACTTAATGACAGCATGATTCGCTTAGCAACTATGGCAAAAAAGTAATGAAATGGGGCACAATTCAACTTTCTTGCTTAGCAACAGAAGTTGTGGGCTTGATTATGGTTGTAAGTCAAGGACTACCTACATTACCTATATAATTAAAAATTTGTGGATTGTTGGAGGAGAATCCCCATTTTCCACCACCATTTTCCAACTTCTTTCGGAGTTGCTTGTTCAGTGCCTGACGTTTACCACTGCAAAGTTTTCCTGACTTGAACTCCAGGAAATCAAGGTTTTTACCCCAGATAGTACCAAGCTAATATCCCAAAGATATTCTCTTCTGCTGTGTAGTATACAATACTACTTAAAAGTTTTTTCTATAGGTAATCCTGGGTTAAAAACCACTAATTCAGCAACCATTCAAAGTTACGAAAGTGCTGAAATGAGTCAGCTTACGACCAGTCACTATTTTGGCTGTCCCAGCATCTCTATACCTTCTCACTATAAACTTGGCGCTTGGCAACCCGTCTCACGTTAATGATAGTTGCAGCACCTAGTCACATGATCATTTGCAACCTTCCCCGTGGCTTCCCACAAGTGACTCCATTGACTTTAATGGAGAAGCCGATGGAAGATTGCAAGTTGCTGGGTAAGTCTCCTCCATTCGGTAGTAGCCAACCGCACTGAGTTGGCACTGCACCGGCCACCCGTGCGCACACTCTTCCCCATAGCAACAGCCACTTTTGCTACCCACGCAACCTTCTGCAGCTGCCACTTAGCTGCCCACTGAACTGTTTGTGAACTACCTGGAACTTGCAACTTCCTGTCAGCTTCCCCACTGACTCTGGTTGCTGGAAACCCGCATGAAGTTGTGAGGAGGTCCTTGCTTAACAATGGCAACAGGCTTGCCGGGATTGCCTTTGTTAAGCAATGTGGTCACATGACATTGCTTTATGACATCACTTAGCGATGGAAATTCCGATCTCAAATATTGTTGAGGACTACTATGGTATGTCACTATGGTATGGTTTATGACCAAGTACAGTTTGTGACACAATAACTCAGCAATAATATTTTTTTAATTATTAAGAGATTCTGCTTTAATATTCTTGGCTTATCTATGGTTAGCTCCCTTTTAGGTTTTATTTCTACAGACACCTAGTTAGGCAGAGAGGGGTGGATGTGCGTTTTGATGTGAGAAATTTTCCAGAATAGTTGTAATACTAATCCTCCTTCCAATAGTTCAGCCAATCTTACCTCTTAGTGAACAGGAGAGTGATAGCCACTGGTTCAACCAGCGCCTACTATCAGCTGGATCAAGATGAACGGAATTCAAGCCACGGGTATAGCATGCCTGCAAAAAATCAGAGGAACCCCTTGGAATGCAGCAAGATGCCTTCATGTCACAAAGAATCATCGAATCCAAGAAACAGCTGTGTTGGTGTTACATATAAGAGGCATATAACCCTCAGTTGCAAACACCCCCAAATATTTGGAGCATGGCTTTTTGCATTTTGAATTTTACTGATATTTTTGACAGGAGCTAAAAATCAATACGTTTAGGGCCATTGGGTGAAAGAGCTAATTCCTCTAAATGTGTCCATTTGCCTAGAGCTGTGATGGCGAACCTATGGCACACGTGCCAGAGATGGCATGCACGCCGTGACCCCAGTTCAGCTCCACCATGTTTCTCCGTGGCGTTTCTCGCCGTCATTTGCAGGGAAACAGAAAGTTCCCTGCAAACAATGAAAGAAAAAGATTTCACCTCTTGCAGAGCTGCCGGTGTTGGGATGTCCCACCTCCCGCCAGCCAGCTGCTTTTTAGGTCTGCTGCGCACGCACGCGCACCTTGTAGTTTGGGCATGCACACGCACCCCGTTTGGGCACTTGGTGTCTGAAAGGTTCACCACCACTGGCCTAGAGCATTAATGTATCCCCTCTCAGCTGCGAAGATAGGGAGGCATCCCCCTCCATTCCACAGCATTCCTGTACAATTGAAAGCAAGGTAAGATAGTGCCCACAATTGTCCAACTTTGCTCACAATATGCTAAACTAATTTATACCTGGTTTGTTGAATAAGCCATCACATTATAGGTCATAGAAAGTCTATATTGGTTTTAAGACTGGTAACTCTGACTATTACTTGTGCGTAAACTGCCCAGCGCTTATGAGGGTTAAGGCAGAAGATGAATAATAATTAGTCCACAGTCAACCACAAGGCCACCTCATACAAATTTTTCTTACCACTTGCACTTCTTCATCCGTCAGCTGGCTTACTCCTAGTTTCACCATTGCCTGGTCCAGATAATACAGCTCAGAGAGATGGCTCCTCAAGCGATTTCTCAGGAAGAAAGATGGCAAGCGAGGCGTCAGGAACAAAACGTGACTGAGAACTTTCTGAGGAAAACAAGGCAAAGGTAACATTAAAGTGCCCAAAGGCTTTCAGATCAAAATGCTTTACTGTGAATCTCCATTTCTGAAACATTTTAGCCTGTGGACAAGGCACTAGGGATGAACAATGATAGCAGATGCAATCGCATCCTTATTTAAATCCAACCCATTGCTGAATATGGAGTCTTAAGATTTGTAAGTAGGAAGAAACTTGGGGTTTTTTTGGTTTTTCAAGCCTTTTAGGCAAAGCACATGACCAGAAAGAGGAAATGATAGTTAACAGATTCATCAGGGACAACGAAGGCTTTTAAGCAGTTATCCAGTTTCATTCCTTTTTTAATGATAATTTTATTAAAGTTATAAAAATATACAAGTGAAAATAAATATAGGAAAATGGGGAAGGGGAAGAAGGGAGAGAGAAAATTGGGGATAAGGAACAATCCCCCCCCCAAAAAAAAGAATTAACTTCCAACTCTTTTCCGTGCAGTAGAATAAAGCATTACAGCCTCTGCTAGCCATTTCTTTAACAAGAAATTTATCTATCGGCACGAACCCCAAATATTGGGCAGATATTTTGAAAGCTAGGCAGTGGAAGAGGGTAGAGATGGGAGAAACACCCAGACTGAATTGCCAGGATGTAGATGCAGATAGAGATAAAGATCCAATAGAGGAATATGGGAGGCAAGTCAAAAAAAGAATAAGAAGCAAAGTACTGAAGCGGGCAAGAGACGATGGATAGAAAGGAAAGGGTTTTTTCTTTCTTTCCTTTCTCTTTTAGAATGGTGGCATGATTAGAAGTTAGATAGAAATAAGAGAATGGGGGAACATTTGTATATATACACACAAGTCTTGGTGTATTCAGGCCTTTTCCCATGTAAGATTGAGAGTATCTTGGCGACGTTTCGACAAGGTCTCACTCGTCATCTTCAGGCTGGTGTCTTTGGCTTTGTGCTTGTGCAAGTAAAGTGTAATCGGAGATGCCGTCGCTCTATAAATACTGCTGGGGAGGTGTGGAGTGCTGGCTTTGTTGTTGTAAGCGGGTTGGTTGGCTGTGTTGTTACATCTCGATTAGTAGATGGAGTTGATGTTTGCAGATTAGTCGGCTGTTTCGTAACATCCTGTGTGCCCGAGGTTCCAGATGTGTGCCCATTAGCTGTTTGTGTTGTAACGACCTGGGTAACGGTCCTGGGAAAGGCTGATGGGCACACATCTAGGACCTTGGCCACACCAGATGTTATGAAACAGCCGACTAATCTGCAAACATCAACTCCATCTACTAATCAAGATGTAACAACACAGCCAACCAACCCACTTACAACAACAAAGCCAGCACTCCACACCTCCCCAGCAGTATTTATAGAGAGACGGCATCTCCGATCACACTTTGCTCGCACAAGCACAAAGCCGAAGACACCAGCCTGAAGATGACGAGTGAGACCTCGTCGAAACGTCGCCAAGATACTCTCAATCTTACATGGGAAAAGACCCAAATACGCCAAGACTTACATACCTGTACCCATGAAAATCTATGAAAACATATATATATATATACACCTTTATATAATGAAACAAAAGCAATAATAAAATGGGAAAACTAGAGATTGAATGATGGTATTATTAAATACGTTTAAATAATATTGTGATTGGCATTGGAATATATTGAAACTGAGCAATTAAATAATGAAAGAACATACCTTAATATAAACATGTGTATTACTATCATATAAATTTGATGATTGTAAAGAATATGATTAGAATAATCTTGTATGTTTAAATAATATTGTGATTGGTATTAGAACTGTGTATTGAAATAGTGAATAATGAAATAATGAATGATTGTATCTTAATACAAATAGATGCAAAGAGTGAAATATGGGAGGTAAATTAAAAATGAACAGGATTCAAAGCACCAAAATGGGCGAGAGATGTTGGCTAGAAAGAAAACATCATTTAATATAAGGGTGACATGATTAAAAGTCAGAATAAAGACAGAAATAAGAGAAAGGGGGAATATTAGTATACAAATTTTTACATAATAAAATAAAAGCAATAACAAGAGGGAAGTTTAGAAATTGAATGGGAGTATTATTATGTATGTTTAAACAATATGGTGACTGGCATTAGAACAATATATTGAAACATGGAATAATTTAATAATGAAAGATTATAACAATATAAATGTGTATTATTATTAGAAATACATAAGCTGGATGAATGTAACAACTATGATTAATATTACTAGTTTTATCTGTATTAAAATGTATGACACCCAGGTGCCACACTGTTCACGCATTGATATGTATATGTAAAATAAAATAAAAAACTTGGGGAAAAAAACCCAAGAAATTTATCTAATTAGCAAATTCCAAAGTCAAAGTCTCATTTTTTTCCTGTCTCAAGCACAAAATTTAGAAACTGTTTCCAAGTACAAACGAAGTTAGATGTATTCTTTTCTTTGCTTAAAGCCAATTTTATTCCTTAAAAGGCACCTACCACATGCTGAACCGTGAGCTGTTGGATACCAAAGGGATGCCCCACAAATAAACTCCTCACAGCTTTAAGCTCCGTTACATCTGGATGAAATCCTTTCTGAACCTTGAAGATTAAGAAACAGAAAAGCAATTTTTCCCAAGTATAAAGTAGGACCTGATCCCGTGCACAACTAAGCCAACTACCACAAGTGTTTAATACATCTACCCACCAGGCTTTACTATATGCCAATTTTACCTTATTGCATCAGAAAATGTGAATATTAAACTTTTCCCGACACCTTGCTAAAACAGTCAACTGGTATCTCCCTACAATTGTGGTATGTAAGGCTACATGCAAATAAGAATTTGCTTATTTGTTTCTTTCCACTATAATGTATGTAGACATTATTTTATAAAGCATTATGAGTTCATCTGCACAGTGTCTTTTCAACAGTGTCAAACCACTAAATAACTGAAACATTCTTACACTTTTGCCTACAGGAGATGAAGTATATAGGATGATCTATGCACTTGACCATAGACTCGCCTGCATGCATATTAATGGAAAAATGTATCATATATAACAGCAACTTCTAGAAGTGTTTCACTTCTAATTATAATTATAATGAAGTGAAATATAATTCACTTCATTATAGTTTAGAAAAGATACCGGGCATTGATTCTCTGGTTTTGTTCACATATTGTACAAGATGTGGTCTACATGTTCCTAATTTAGCACAATTTCTGAACCCAATTATTGCAAGAGTGTACAGTAAGTAGTCCTCAACTTACAATTGTTTAGTGACCATTTTAAGTTACAGTGGCATTGAAACAAATGACCGGTTTTCACACTTACAACCATTGCAGAATCCCTACAGTCACATGATCAAAATCCGGGCACTTGGCAACTGGAATGTATTTTATGAGAGTCGCCCTGTCTGGGAGTCATGTGTTCACCACTGTAACCTCAGCCGGCTTCTGACAAACAAAATCAATGGAGAAGCCAGGTTCTCTTAACAACTGTAGTGATTCACTTAACAACTGTGGCAAAATGGTAGTAGACTGGGACAAAACTCACTTAACAGCCTCACTTAGCAAGGGAAATTTTCAGCTCAATTGTGGCGGTAAGTCGAGGACTACCTGCATTGCACTATAAAATATAGTAATTTAGTAAAACATAATTAATCAAAGAGTGGCTTAGTGTATGTGAACTATGTTATGTCAAGAAAAAGAATTAAAAGTTAAACTTCTTTTAAAAGGCAGTTCACAAAAAAGAAAAAGTCGTGTTTTTTTTTAAGAATAACACTTTAAAATATCCAGGATTGCTTCTTTGTCAATGGAGAAAGAAGTACCTTTTCGCAGAGGTATAGCATCCGTTGGCGAAGCTGAGGATCATCTGGGAAGTGAGACAGATGTGTTAGACCATCAATCACTTCAGTATATGCCTCCCTCCTCATATTGTGATAAGTGTTCAGAAACTCAGCTTGTTGTTCAGGAGTCCAGAAGTGGCGTATTAAGAGCTGTCTTGGGAATAAATACCTTGGGAAGGAGAAATTGTTTGGAAGAAGTGACTTATTTCTAAACCAAGACAACTAACAAATACAAATTTAGGAATACGTGTATTATACATTTACAATCAAATTTAGGCCAAGGAAATCTAAACGTTGCAACAGGAAATGGATTTTACAGCTTCCACCCACAGTGAAAGCTTTTACTTAAGATAATTTCCACTAAGGGAAGAAGAAAACAGCAGTCTGGCAAGTGTAACCCTGGCGCTGACATCCTGAATTCCTATGGAACTCTTCTTTTGGAAATTTAGCCAGGTCTTGTTAAAAGCCAAGTTTTAAGTTATCTTCGTAGGACTGCTGAAAATGTACTTAAGAAAAAGAAACATGATATCTTATGTTGTCAATATATCCAATAAAATTTCTTCTATCAAATAGTATCTGACCTGCAAATACATAACAACTTTCTGAGATCTGGTTCCTCAGTCTTGGAAAATTCCAGTCTTTGGAATTCTCTTCCCAGATGCCATAATTTAGGTGCCAGGCCAGATTTACCTTGATGATTCCATTAATAGTAAATGTGATTCTTATTTGTCTCTTGTTCTTCTTTGCGATTTTATTACTTCTTTGTTTTCCAATGTATTTCTTTTAATATTTTTTTGTAAGCCATCTTGCACTCATGAAAAGTGGGTGGAAGCAGTGGTGGGTTGCTACCGGTTTGCCCCGGGTTGGGCGAACCGGTAGCAGTGGTGGCAGGAGGCTCCGCCCATCCGCTTCTGCACAAGCACAGAAACGTTGAGCGCCCACGCGCCAACCAGTAGTAACAGGTTTTGAAACCCGCCCCTGGGAGGAAGGTTTAATAAATACACCAGTTCTGTTCTTGTGCAATATATATATTCCATATTCTATGCTGGCAATCACAGGCTTTATCAGTATTGGCCTTTAATCATATTTTAGTTCAAATGTGCTATAGCTAATCGTCTTCATGTCCTGTTTTCTTTTCGGAAATGAAAACCTACAATGTTTTTGCAAGGCCAAGCTGCCTTGCCATCCAAGGCATATTGGGCTGGTAAAAGTAAGAACAAATTCACCCTATTTGTGCTTCTTTTTCCTTCTTTTATTATGAAGAAACAGGGCAGGAGAAATGCCAATTGAGATAGTGTTTTTGCCCGTACAACTTTTTTTTCCCCGTTAAACATTTTGCAATCTTTCAATTTGTCCTTAAAAAAAAAGGTGAGCATTTTAAAGCGTTTAGTTTATATCGGAAGATGGGAGAGAGGGCAAAAAGGCTGTATCCCAATAAATCTTAAGGATCTAGATAAAGATAAAATTCTACTTACATAAGCAAAAGAACTAAATAGTTGGCGAAGGGTGGAAGAGAGAGAATCCCAACAGGAATGGCTTTAATAAGATCCCTGCGAAACTAGAGGAACAGTGCATAGTTACTATTGTTGTCAATTGCCAGAGACCCCCTTAACAATGCAGGAAACCAGTTTTACAATTGGTCAGTTTTTGCTTCTTTAGCCTTTTAAAGTTATTATAATTCCTTTACAAATTTTATACTCTTACAGTGGCTATAGTTACAATATTGATATTAGTTTACCTCTAGATTTTAGTGATAGTATTTTTCTATTTCATGATAGTTACTTTAATTTCATAAATTCTACAATTTTACCCAAATTATCTCTCTTATATTCACTTTTGTCTTTCAAAACATACCCTTAGCAGTCTTGATATCATGATGTCATATAGTTTGTGCTAGAGATCAAATTTTAGTCAATTCTTTTAGCATATAGGCCAGGGGTCCACAAACTCGTTAGCTCATTGATTGATGAAGTTTCAGATTGTTCACTGATCCCAAACATTTATTATATGAAAACTCAAGCTGACTGTCATTGGCAAGTGACCATCCAACCTTAAGTAACAATCTCTTACCACTAGCTTAATAACCTTCAGGACTAGAAATGGCATAGAACTCTATACAGACCTCAGAAAATTGACTTTCCATCGTTTATTGATCACCTATTAATCCCCAGCTATTTACCGATTTCCTTTTGATCCCCAGCTATTTATCAACCCTTTGGACAGTCCCAGAAGCTCTTGGGGGGTTGATAAAGACCACTTTGAGGAGCCCTGGGTTACACTACTAACACAATGGGATGGTTTTCATTTTATTTTTTAATATTATACTGTATTATGCCGATTGATGACTGAAATAAAGAGACTATTTATTTCTACTGCATAGTTGTTAGGGTTGCAATACACAAATGTGAAAGTCCGATAGTAGGATAAAGAAAAGATTAAACAACTGAGATTGGACTTCTGAGGGAGGTATGGCAAACCGAAGACGACTCTGGGAAAGCAGAGTTGATGATTGTGGCACAGACCAAAGAATGGTGAGTAGACCAGTTCTTTGGAATGTCTCCAGACAAGGAGAGGATGGGAGATGAACCACATATGCTCTGGATGGTTGCCCCTCACAAGGAGACCGCAAGACAGTGGTCTTCTGCAGGTTTGACCACTGGGAGATGAAGGGATTAGGCAGTGATGGCTAACCTTTTTGCTGTTGCGTGCTGAAAGCGTGCACGCCTGCCCGCACCCATAATTCAATGTGTGCATGACCTCCCCCGCATGCCCCACCCCTGCACATGCGTGCGCGATTCCCCCCATCCTCCCCATGCACATGCGCTCCCCCTGCACTCCGTTTGAGGCCTAGTAGGCCTCCCTGCAGCCTCCTGGGAGCAAAAACAGGCCGGGGGGGGGCATGCCGCACCCCCCTGCACCCCATTTTGGGCCTAGTATGCCTCCCTGCCCTTACAACCCATAATGCAATGCACGCATTGTTGAGGGTAAAATTGCCCTCTGCAAAGTGGTGCAATGGACCAGACAGCGAATAGATACGTCACTTAGCAAAACACACAGATACTCACAGACTCTGAACGTTGTAAGAAAATAAACAGTCTTTACTTGTAGTAAAAACAAACTTGGCTTCTCAAAACAAAGATAACACTTCTTTAAATAATCACAGTTCAACACAAAAAACATAGTTTGCTTACAATTCCAGTTCTCTTCAGTAACACAGACACAGTTCCTTTCAGCAGTTCAACCTTCTAATAGCAGGAGCAGGAGCAAAAGTGACTGAACTTCCTGCCTTCTTTTATGTCTGCTTAGCACAGCCAATTAGTCATCTTGTAGCAGTTAAAGTTACAGAACATAGTTTTCTTTATATTATCTACCCAACTGTAGGATAAGCATCCAACACGCATGACCCCCCCCCCATGCTTCCCCACACATGCGCGTGCATATCCCGCATGTGCCTCACTCCCCACGCATGCACGGCAGAGACCCAAAGATCAGCTGGCTGGTGGGAGGCGCGCACACATGCACAGTGGAACTGAGCTGGGGCAACGGCTCACGTGCCCACAGAGAGGGCTCTGCGGCCACCTGTGGCACGCATGCCGTAGGTTCACCATCACAGGATTAGGCCATTTTGCTCATAGCTAGAACAGAGTCATTAAAAGGACATTAGGTTCTCAAGCCTCATTTTCTAATATCTTTCAGAAATTATCTATTAATTATCTGAAAGCTATTAGAGACTCCTGCATGTGAGTATTGTCCATGGCACATAATTATTCACTCATTATTGTAAATCATGATTAATTTAACCAAGATTTATTTAAAAAGCCATAACTATTTGGATTCACGCAATACAGGAAGTCCATGACAATTGGGACTGGAATCTCGATTGTTCAACGATGAGGACATTGAGATGCCCACGTGACTGTTTCACTCAATGTCTGCAATCACAGCACTCCCAGTTATGGTCATTAAGCAAACTCCTGGGTTGTTAAGCTCATGGAGAGAAAGAGTTGCCCGCTGAGCTCAACTCCTCTCCATTTGCATGTAAGTGAAAACAGGTTGCCAAGCACCCAGATCACAATAATGTTACCATTGGGTGGGGGTGGGGGGTGGGGGTGGGTGGGAGGAGAGGGAATGTTGTTGCACGTTTTATGACAGATCTGATCCACTATATATGATCTGAATGGTGAATAGGACACAAGATTATATGGTAGGTCGGATTTTCACTTGGTGCATTGTGTGAACATAAATCACTGTGGGTTTTAAGTCACAGTTTATGCCTGATGGTTATGCCAGGAATCTAGGTCAGCCCTGAGGCCGTATGTCATGACTTCCTTGCCCTAATTTCAAAATTCTGTGCAAAAATCAGTCCAGGCCTCTGATAAGAATTGTCAATTGTTTTTCTCCAGCTTTGGAAAAATGTAAGATTGTGTCAGGAAATAACTGTTAGAAAAATGGATGGCTTTATATTTGTTTTAACTCTAGCCCCATCTGCTGCTTGTTTTTTCTCTAATCACAAGACAGACTCCAGATTATTGCTGAATGAATGGAGCCTTAGAAAGGGGGGGGGGATGTTTATTTCTGATCATTTCAAAAAAGGATCATCTGTAAAACAACATTATATCAAACTAAAGCAAACATGTTTCCAGCATAGATATATTTCTCATTACCTCAAGTAGATCATTTTTGTTAAAATCCTTGAACGTAGAAGCAAAAAGGTGTACTAGATATGTACTATGTAAGGTAATTCCTCGTGTATGAATAAAGATGGTTGTTGAAGTGCAGGAACTAGATACTGCCTAAAATTAACCTGTTAATTCCAACATCTAGTGCAATTTAAGCATCAGAAAGTCAACAGGAAAGAGAAAACATGGAATATAAACCAACCTGTCTTAGTCTCTCCATTTCTCTGTAAGGAAGTTGATGGAACTGGATATTTTTATTTGACATGTCTGCCTTTATTCTTCTTATTTCTTTTGCTTCTGAAAAGAAAACCTGTAAGCCTGAACAGAACATATAAGTATTTTTAGATTTCACTTCCACTTTTTTATTGTGTATTTCATATATTTATTTTAATCTGAAAATATCACTACCCATTCCCTTCTAGGTTACAGTTCCTTGTCTCAAAGGTGTTTTTTCAAAAGGCAACTGGATTGTTTTTTTTTTCCTTGAGGAAAAAGAAGAAAACGTTTCGCTTCTCATCCAAGAAGGTTCATTAGTTGGAAGCTTCTTGGATGAGAAGCAAAATGTTTTCTTCTTCTTCCTCAAGAAAAGAAAACAGTCCAGTTGCCTTTTGAAAAAGCACCTTTGAGACAACCATAACCTGGATGACTGAGAATCACCAAAGACATACAGTTCCTTGTGTTCATTGATTTCAGGGCCCACTTTGACTGTCTTTGCTCAATTTTTAAACAAACTTGGTCATATAAGTGTTTCCTCCTGATTTAATGGTATTAGGGCATGCCATAGAAACACAGACTAGTAGCATTGATAATAGTCTTCATAGTATAAGCTTTTTCAGCCCTCTTGTAAGGTATCCTATATTTATACTATTTATCACTATTTTCTTAGAAGGAATGAGAGAAAACTGTTCTGAAATAAGGAGACATTCAGCTATGCTGGCTATTCTTATACATGTTCTTTCCTTTCTTTCTTGTCATTCTGCAAAACCTACTGCTTTCATAAAAGAAATTTACACACACACACACACCTTCATTCAGAATGTCAGCATATTGCTCATATGTTAATCTCTTCCTCCTAAAATCAAACTCCGGACTAATTCAGATTTAATGGAAAACACTTCTTTATTAAAAAGAACTGTGGGAAGCCTTAAGATCACTTATTCTTTCTTCTCTATTTCCCTCTTCCTCTAGGAATTAACAAACAACAATTACCTAAGACTTCTGACCTTAAAGATGTTCCTGAGAACATGTCAGGATCAAATTGTAATTTCAAATAAAACTCTTGAAACGTTATAATGAACTGTTCCACTTAAATTGGAAGGATGCATTTTTAGTATTTTCCTTGTAAATCTAAAAGAACTGGGAAGGGGAGGAACAAGCATGAGAATCTTTCATTATACTGGAATTGGGTATATTTATCTGGAATTCTGCATATATGATCAATTTATAATTAATATAAGCGCTTGTTTCCCAAATTTCAGTATAGTGTGCAGAATAGTATGCAGAAACACTCCATTTTCAGTTTGAAACGGTTGTTTTACATACACACAGTTATTTTGATTAAGTTTTGAGACGCTTCAAAAAAGCAAGAACTGTTTATTTATTTATTATTACATTTATTTGCCGCCCATCTCATTTCAAAGTAATTCTGTTAGACACCCTTCCATCGGTACAATTCATTTCAAACCTGAAACAGGATACTTTCAATTTAAAACATTTTGCATACTACCAAAATTAAGACATATGTTCCTGGGTTGCCTTTTCACTGAAATTATAAACTATATTTTTAAATGAAAACCCACCTTTTAAAAATGTTGAATATAGCTGATAGAAACGTGGGAAATTCCTTTCCAAATATCTTTCATACTTCTGATTCAGGTATTTGATTTTTGAAACCAAAACAGAGGTAAGCTTGTTTGAATTTGCTTTTGAAGAAAAATGGCACACTGGAAGTCTGAAAGGACATCCAAATTCAGCACTTGTATTGTCATGTATCTCTTTTATGCTGTTTAGCGCACACAGAAACAACTTTCATATTGTAGTTATAACAGAATAATGTAGAACAGCTATCTCTGACTGATATTTCAAACAGCACAGCTTAATATTAGTATTTTATGCCCACAATGAAAAAAAAATGTTGGAACACATTTTCATAGAACTTATACATAAGTCAAGTTCCTAATTTTATTACTAAAGCAAAATAACACTGAAGTCTAGTTGCAAAGGTTAAGACCTATGCTCAACAAAAATGCAAAATGTGTATCTTGTTAATCAGATGCTGTGATTCATTTAATATGGTTTTAATATATTGCTATCAGGAAAACATCCAAATTATTTTAAAAAATCATTCTAAACCACACCCAGCTACAAAAAAAAAATGTAAATTAATTTTACTTTCATCAGCTAGTGTGGTAAACCTCCTTTTTTGAAAAATGTTGTGACAAGTGCTAGGATAATGAGAGAATCAATGGTAATCATTCTACCTTCCGCTAACCTTGAAACAAGACAGACATTTTGGATTTAAAGCAATCTTGGCAGGAGGAACAGATTTTCTTCCAAGTAAGAGATCAAGTATTCTTTCCAAAGCCAAACTGTAAATATATGTTCATGTTTTATAGACTGTGCAAAATGGTATGAAATGCACCACTTTAGACTGCTAACTCATGAGGCAAATTTAAAACACCATCTTCTTTTGCCTTAAATCTCTGAACATAGAAAATTTATCATGTTATCACAAAACAAATGTGAGAATATCCTTAGTTATAAGTAATATTTCAGTTTTAGAAGTGTTTTCCTTTTGCTGGCAATAATCACATTTCGTGAAATGAAGAATTCAAAAATGAAATTCTCTCCATCTGAAAAAAATCCCCAAATAAAGCCTTATTTTTGGTTAATCGCTACTAAAGAAGTAATGTTCTAAAGTGGAAGGCAGAGAGTGTGTGTGTACTTGGCTTGGTTTGAAAATAGCATGTTGTAAAAATCCAGTCATTGCAATATATTCAATAAACAAGTGTTAAAGAAAACATGACATAACAAAATGTATAGCCCACCCAGGGTGTATTTACTTCGGACTGTTTGAGTTCATACAGTTCAAACATCTTTCCTTCACCATTTGTCTTCCAGGTGGACTGAACTACATCTACCATTATCTCACAGCATATTCATAGAATCCAAGACTTGAAAGGGGCTGTTTAGGTCACTGACCCTCAACCCGGTGCTGACAAGAAACTCCAAATTAAAATATCCCAAAATAGCTGCCTAAGAACCAGCTTGATGTATAACGATTAAGGCATCAGGCTATAGATGGGAAGACTGAGTTTTAATTCTGCCTAGGCACAAAGCCAGCTGGGGGACCTTGGGCAATCACGGTCCCTCAGTCCTAGGAAACAAGCAAACTATTTCGGAAACTACCCAAGCTGTGAAGCCTTTGTTTTGAACACATCCAGCAAAACGGAGCCCACCTGCCCTCTAAGAATTGGTTCCCCTGTTGGATAGTAATTATCCCAATGGTGAAGCTCAATTTTTTTTACTACCGGTTCTGTGGGCGTGGCTTGGTGGGCGTGACAGGGGAAGGATACTGCAAAATCTCCATTCCCACCCCACTCTGGAGCCAGCCAGAGGTGGTATTTGCTGGTTCTCCGAACTACTCAAAATTTCCGCTACCGGTTCTCCAGAACCTGTCAGAACCTGCTGGATTTCACCCCTGAATTATCCTCAGAATGTTGTTCTAACGTTCAAGCAGCATCTCCCGTCCTCTAACTTAACCCCTTTAATTCTGTATGTTGTATAAGTAGTCCTCGACTTACGATCACAGTTGAGCCCAAAATTTCTGTTGCTAAGCGAGACATCTGCTAAGTGAGGTTTGCCCCATTTTACGATCTTTCTTGCCACAGCTGTTTAAGCGAGTCACTGCAGTTGATCAGTTGATAACCTGGTTGTTAAGTGAATCTGGCTTCCCCCTTGACTTTGCTCGTCAAGGAGGTCACAAAAGGAGATCACATGACCATGCTGGGACACGGCAACAGCCATAAATACAAGCCCGTTGCCAAGCCTCTGAACTTTGATCACGTGATGATCGAGGATGCTGCAAAGGTGGTAACTGTGAAAAACGGCCGTAAGTCACGTTTTCTCAGGGCACGTTCTAACTTTGAACGGTCACTAAACGAACTGTTGCAAGTTGAGGACTACCTGTACTTCGGAGCCGAAGAAAACAAAGTCACCAGAGACCTCCCGCTCAGACATCCCAAGAATGCGATGGACTGCCGCCTTAGCCATCTTTCCTCCAGGCTGCACATGGCGCAGCAGCTCTCCCTCTTCATAGGATCACCCTCGCTTGCCCTCCTCCTCTAAGCCTCCGCCTTCTTCCTTGCAACCCTTAAAGGATAATCGGGGCAGAATTTCTGTCGGTGGAGATTAAGCGATACGGAGCAGAACCATTTCTCTGGCTGAGAATTTAATCGGGTTACTTTTGCAAGGGGGCACTCAACGTGCTATTATCTTCCCTCGCCTCCAACACGAAGGGGCCGGGCACGCAGCTTCCCACCACCACCACCACCACCACCACCCCGTGCATGGAAGTCCGGGAAGAGACATAAGGAAGGGGATGCAAACGGCGGCTGCCGCCATGCCTCTCTCTCTCCCTCTCTCTCTCTCCGGTAGCAGAAGCCGGTGTGCCTCCCTGCCCAGATTCTCACCTTAGGACCGGCCACGGGGGAGGCTCTGGCGGGCGTAAAGCCCGGTGAAGGGAAGCAATGGGTACTGGAGGTCGGCGAAGTCCTAAACGCAAGCCGCAGCCGCCAGGGCGGCAGCAACAACGCCGGCCGGATAGCAGCAGGAGAAGCAGCGCCATGCCCGCCGAAAGAGGCGAAAGAGCCCCCCCCCACCTCTCCAGGTCTTCCGGGGCGGCTGCGCTCAGCTGCCCGGGTAGCTCACGTGACAACTACGGGCGGAAGAAGCGGCTACGGAAAGAGAAAGTAACCATGTGCCCCCTCGGCATCACGAACACATGTCGCCAAGGAGCAACCAGGACTTACTTACTTACTTACTTACTTACTTTCTTTCTTTCTTTCTTTCTTTCTTTCTTTCTTTCTTTCTTTCTTTCTTTCTTTCTTTCTTTCTCTTCTTTCCTTCTTCCTCTTTCTTTCTTTCTCTCTCCTCTCTCTCTCTTCTCTTTTTCCTTCTCTCCTTCTTTCTCCTTGTCTTTTTTCTTTCTTTCTTTCCTTCCTTCCTTCCTTCTTTCCTTTCTCTTCTTTCTTTCTCTCTCTCTCCTCTCTCTCTCTTCTCTTTCTCCTTCTCTCCTTCTTTCTCCTTGTCTTTTTCTTTCTTTCTTTCTTTCTTTCTTTCTCTCTCTCTCTCTCCCTTCCTTCCTTCCTTTCTTTCTTTTCCTTCTTTCTTTCTCTCTCTCTCTCTTTCTTTCTTTCTCTCTCTCCTCTCTTTCTCCTTGTCTTTTTCTTTCTTTCTTTCTTTCTTTCTTTCTTTCTCTCCCTCCCTCCTCCCTCCCTCCTTCTCCTCCCTCCCTCCCTCCCTCCCTCCCTTCTTTCTTTCTTTCTTTCTTTTTTCTTTCTTTCTTTCTTTCTTTCTCTCTCTCTCTCTCTCTCTCTCTCCTCTCTCTCTTTCTTTCTTCCTTCTCTCCTTCTTTCTCCTTCTCTTTTTCTTTCTTTCTCTCTCTCCCTCTCTTCCCCCCCCTCTGGAATTTCGGCGCTAGCTAGGCAGTGTAGGACATGCGAGGGAAAAGCGAGTGATTTGTTTCCTACGAAAAGTAGAAAAGTACGGTAGGTGAAATAAGAGTGGCCAGTTCCTCAAAAGAAGGTAGAGAAAGGAAGGAAAGGGGGAGGTGGTTGAAATGAAAAAGATTGGCAGGACAAGAAAAACAATCATAGCATTATTTTATTTTAATTTTTATTGAATCGTTTTGTACAACATAAAAACACTGCACATTTTCAACAAAGGAAAGGGAAAGGAAAGGAAAGGAAAAGTGATAAGTAAGAAATAAATAAAGGGAAAAAAATTAAACCATGAAGTAGTGGCTTCCTATTTTTTTTTTTACAGCAGTTATGGGTGCATTTATATTTTACCCTCTCTGTTTAAGGAACCACATTAAATGAATGCCACAAAAATGTAAAACTGAAGAAATAAAAAATTAGTTCTAATTGTGGAGGTTCTTCTGGCTGCTAAAAAGAACTGAAATTTCACCAGTTCCAATTTGGAAAACAACTGATGGACATCCAGATAATTTCAATCTTGTTAAGGAAAAAGAGAGGAAATAAGGACAGGAAATTCAACACGAAGATAAAAAAATGAAGATGTCCAAATTGAAACCTTAAGCAACATTGCCTCAAAGTTTAAAAAGGAGAAAAAACAGGATTATAGAATGCACTGCATGCCTGTCAAGAAAATAACACTAATCATTGGTTCTTTAACCAAAGTATAAATAGAATGTATTGATTTCAAGACAGAAAGTATACTTTTGCTTAGAATCTGTACTCCAGATTGATAACAGTGTTAAACCTGAAGGGAAAGGTGGGATATGTGATATAACAGAAGGACATTACCATTTATCTGCTCAAGTGGTGCTACTATTAAATAAAATTTTACAGTGCTGTAACTGTTTATAAGCAGTTGGTGCTCTGAGAGTACTTATCCAAGTAAATACGCTACTTCTGACTATAATGCAGATTTTTATGGGAATATGTACCTACTAAATGGGGTGGAACTTATTTCTGATCCTGTACTCATTATTAGGGTGGGGTGGATAAAAGTCTAATTGGACTTGCAGTCGAATAAAGAATTTTAGCCTGTCTGCAACAAAAATTATGTGATAATCCAAACATCAGGATATATCTTTACACTAATAATGTTCATGGGTCAGAGCTTCCTTCATCAGAGACTTAAGCTGGACTTGTGCAACATGTTTTTCCCCATAACCCTTGGCATTGTATGAACCCAAACACTAGAGTCTATAAACTACATTGATAATTTATAGAAATTATATGAATCCAGCCAATTTCAAATTTGTCCATTCAAGCAACCATACCCTATGAAATCACAGATATATTTAACAAATAGCCACAAAGATATCCATGCACAAGATACTTAAGGGAAGAAGATAATGTTGTTACTATGGTCTAGAGAACATATGGAATGACTTCAGAATGTATTCATTAAATTTGATTATTATACTCTGACCAACAACATCTGGATCTTGCTATCCACAGGATAACTTTCCAAAATAATAGTCAAAGTAACAATCTACATGTGTGAAATTTGATTCTTCATTCAGCTCTTAGAAACGCTACATGTCATTTCTGTATCTCTAACCAATGCCTCCATATCATTCAAAGCTTAAAACTAGGCTTAAAAGAACTAGGATAATCTATCTCATCTAAGGATGATTTTTTTTTTTTTTGGCATTGGATGATAGCTCTTAAGATCAGCTAGATCCAATGATACTTTGGGCAGGGACAGGGCTTTCATTGTCACCACCACTTCATTTACAGCTTGAAAAACATGAATTAATAATGCAAAATGACTGTTAGAAGTTCTTACAAGCCAAGCCACGGAAGGAACCAAACATGCAATGGGAAGACCAAAAAGATCCAAGTATCTTACCTAATTCCTCACAAGTGAAACTGTGGAACTGTCTGAAATTATGCTATTATAATATGTGTGTGGTGGGTTCCTTGGACTAGCTTCAACACCAACACAAATCTGAACAATTTCCTTCATAGAGAACTTCATAAATTGCTCACCATGCTGCTCAGATGGGATCTGGGTGCTTGCCAGAGCCACTGAAGGATATCTGCACATGGATTACTTTGGGGAAGGGAAGGGTTTTTTTCCCCCATTTCTTCTCTAATTGGTGCTGCATAGATTTGATGGTGAATCCCCCATTATGCTTCTTTGTCTTTGCCCCTGGACCTACGTCAGAATTGTTCAAGTCTTCTATATTTCTTAGAACCATTAAGAAATTAGAGCCGAGGTGGCGCAGTGGTTTGAGTGCAGCACTGCAGGCTACATCAGCTGACTGCTAGTTGCGGTTTGGCAGTTCAAATCTCACTGGCTCAAGGTTGACTCATCCTTCCAAGGTTATTGACCATTCGAAGTTACACGGCACTGAAAAAAGTGACTTAAGATCATTTTTCATCCTTGTGACCTCATGGTCATATGATCAAAATTTGGATGGTTGGCAACTGGCACTTATTTATGATGGTTGCAGTGTTCTGGGGTCATGTGATCACCCTTTGCGACTTTCTGACAAGCAAAGTCAATAAGGAAGCCAAATTCACATAACAACCGTGTTACTAACTTAACAACTGCAGTGATTCACTTAATAATTGTGACGAGAAAGGTTGTAATATGGGGTAAAACTCACTTAACAACTGTCTTACTTAACCACCTTGGGGTCAATTGTGGTCGTAATACATTCTAGTTTCATGACTTTGCTCAAATTGCAAGTAATGCTGAGTCAAAGTCTAAAGAAAAATCTTACTTCCTTGTTTCGGTGTTCCCTTTTTTCTAATAGTAATTTTTAGCTTACTTGTAAAAAAGAATCACCATGTCACTAGTTTATATAACAAATGAGCTAACATCAGCATGAAAAAGAAATACTACAGTTTAAGGTTCAATTCAAAGATACAGCTACTCCTAAGGACTTCATTTATTCCTTGGTAACATCTCCACCCTAATTCAGTATAGTTAATTTCTGATTCAGCTGTGCTGTGCAAATCAAGGCTGTCGCATTGATTCACGCATGAGGATTCAGTTGAATTAACCATGGATTACAGCATGGTCTACCCATACAGTTTTTTGATTGGGTTACCGTATCTGTTTTATTATTTTATACCTATAATTTATTTAATAATTGTTTTATGGTTTACATATAAACACTAAGGAGAAACTTTCTAACAGTGAGAACAATTAACCAGTGGAATGGCTTGCCTTAAGAAGCTGTGGATGCTTCAACACTGGACATTTTTAAGAAGAGACTGGACAATCGCCTGTCTGAAATGGTATAGGGCCTCCAGTTTGAGCAGGGGGCTGTATTAGAAGACTTCCAAGATCCTTCCAGCTCTCTTATGATTGATTGATTAAACATGCACCAAATTGCTACTAACTGTAATATTTTTTTAACTTAATTATATAGGTAGTTCTCCATTTATGACCATCACTGAGCCCAAAATTTCTGTTGCTATGTTAAGTGAGTTTTGCCCCATTTTATGACCTTTCTTGCCACAGTTGTTAAGTGAATCACTGCAGTAATTAAGTTAGCAACATGGTTGTTTAGTGAATTTGGCTTCCCCATTGATTTTGCTTGTCAGAAGGTGGCAAAAGGTGTTTACATGATCCCAATACACTGCAACCATCATAAATATGAGTCAATTGCCACGTGTCTGAATTTTGACCACATGACTATCGAGATGCTGCAATAGCCATGTGAAAAACAGTCATAAAATACTCTTTTCAGTGCTGTTATAACTTTGAACGGTGACTAAATGAACTGTTGTAAATCAAGAACTACCTATACACAGTTGAACAAAATGGCTACTGCTCTACACTATTAAAATCTTCTATTTTATAAAGGACACAACCTGATTAGAAACAACATTGCAATGGTACATAGCACTGAAATAAACAACTGCCTTTCACGTGAAGGCTGAGTTTTCCCCATCTCACAAAATAACTAAAGGGTTTGCTATTTGGGCACCATGTTGCTGAAGTTAAGCAGACCTTAGAATGATCATCAGAGACAACATACAAATGTGTGCCAATTAATTAATTCCTTGGGTGAGAAAGATGAACACATAACAAAAGCAAAATACCAAGGAACAGTCAAAACTATAAATATGGGATTGGGAAACGAAGGCTCGGAAATGTCAAAAATGCCAAAAAT